TAGCATTGTGGGATTCTGATAATAACCTGTGATTGCAGCCTCCTTCCTATAATAGCTAATCCTGTTTAAAGGAGCTTCCAGAATAATATCATTCCTTATCTCAGCGTTGAAGGGGAGTGTTCGTGAAATGCGGGGTTGCTATGGGCATTTCCCGAGACAGGGAGGGGTGGGAGGTTCGTCAACCATATTTTTTGTTGCTTCCATCCTTTTATACAGCTGTTTCCACGTCCTAGCCAAAGCTGGTGAAACTTTCAAGCAGGCAGAAGTAAATGCAGGCTCAGAACAACCTTAGAAACGGTTCTCTTGCACAAGAATAGTAAGTTGTGAGCAAGTCTGGACCCCAGGCGGGAGTCAAACCCGCGTCTCGCGTTTTCCGTGAGAGTGCACTATCTGTTGCGCCACGAGGACCACCACCAGGGCTTTCACCCTTTCTACTCGATTTCCATAGCCTTTGAGATAAGCTTCGGAAAATGGCATTAAAAAGCAGTTATTATACTAAAACACCATCCCTTGCAGTTCTCATCACTACGCGCTCGGTTAAGCCCATTTCGAACAGCTCATTGCAATGCAGAAATGGCGTTGGCGGCAAGAAGTAAGTTTTGGTCCTGCTCAACTTCTGGATCATTGGGTAGCAAAATGTGAAATTCTTACTCATTCAGATGTCATCCCACGTGCAAATCCCGATGTTCTACGCCCAATCTTTGAACGATTTGCGTCCAAGACTGACAGTGAAGGCAAGAAGTACATGACATCAGAAGACTTCATTAGAAAGTAAGTTCCAAGTTAAGATAGTTTTTTGGCTAATATTTTTGCTTACTGCCTTTGGCAGTTTTCATAGTTCGCGACTCTGGGGTCGCGCGACCCCCACGACCTTTATCGCTCGATCTTCATCTCCGAGCGCCTCCCCACCGTTCCTTTGGGAAGACAGCTTTGTAAGGAAAGCTCTGAAAAGGGTTATGGTAAGGGAAATTGGACATCGTTCGGAATGACATTTATTGGCTGCTCTGTTCCGAAAGAGCATCGCCAAGGGATAACCATATCGATGTTTCCATACAGGAAAGGAAGGATAGCGCCTTACTTTGGTCCTGTGGTTTGTTTGTGGGTATTCCGTGAAGGGCGATGGCTGGGATATCATATGGGAAAGCCATAGCAACTGTGCATTTCTCATCCGCGCACTCCTTTTCTTCACCGTATCGAAACTGGGGTTCAGTGGTCCAAAGGGAGGAATTAGTGGTTGTGGTATCTCGGCCATCCGCCTCATTCCGCTCATCGCCGGCATGCACCATCAACAGAGTTCATTGAAGCCCTATTTGTGTTTCACTTTTAAAATCCCACAGTTTTGACATGTCAGTTGCGCTAGTGCATTGCAATTACGGTCCCGGCTGTAACTGCGGTCGGTGATTGAGGTGGGAGTGAGGGAGGTGAGGGGGAAGGAGGGCAGGGCAAGATTATATAATGGAGCGAATTTGGGTCAGGAGGTCCGAGCTGAAACAATGTTGCGCCTTCAAGTCGCTGCGATGTTGAATATCCAAGCTACCTCTCGCGCGACGACCGCATTTCGGATGTCCTGGAAGGTCTGCGGCACAGTCTCGATCAACGCCTCTTTACCTTTTGTGCCGTGTAGGTTACAGTAGATTACTTTAAACAAACCTCTCAATATTCACCATCTTTTGCGATCTTTCTATGTTGTATTTAATGCCTTCAGATACCTCGGGCTGTACACAGAGGAGAACTATAACCGCGAAACTGTACGAATGCTCGCCTCTGCTGCCGACACCACAAAAGATGGTGACATCTCGTTTGAAGAGTTTTGCGCTTTTGAGGCACTTCTCTGCAGGTAAGCGCTTTCTTTGGTGCTCCCCAAACAGTCTCTTACCATTATTTCTCGGCATTTTCTAATCAGAGACTATAGTCGATTTATTGCTGCTTCCAGCCCTGATGCTCTTTACCTGACTGCATTTGAACTTTTCGATCGGAATGCCAGCGACTCAATCACCTGCGATGAATTCGAGGCGGTCATTCGACATACAGAACCGCTTTATCACATGGACTTTGATTTCAACTCGGAGTTTATCAAGAAGTATTTTGGCGCGTAAGTTAATCTCGTCTAATATCGGCATTATAAGGTGAGGCATAAAGGATGAAGTATAAAGCGCACGGCGTCGATTCATCCTTTTTTGGGATAAGCCATGCATTCCACGCCCATTTAGGATCGTAAGGACCTTTTGAATATGGCATTTCCCACACTATGACTTCCGGGGCCAGCTTGTATAGAATTCGGCGCTTTTACGAAAAATCAAGCAGCT